AAAAAAAAAAAAAAAAAAAAAAATATTTTTTTTTTCTCTTTTGCTTCTTTTCAAAAGTTGCCAAAGTCTTGTTTGGCTGTCTGCTTATTCAAACCGCCCACTTTCTATTTTCTAATAATTGCATAAACAAAAACATCTTCCTCTCTCTTCACCTTTCTGCTGCTTCATTCTCTCTCTCTCTCTCTCTCTCTCTCTCTCTCTAAAACACGCAGAGTCTTTAATAATTTCTCTGCTTCTCTTTCGTTTCTGATTTCCTGTTATTATTTGTTCCTTCTCTCGCCATCACCGCGAGCTTGTACATTTACAGACACAAATAAACGAGCTTTCTCCGGGAGAAAAATGGCCGCCAACAGATTTGCTACCTTGCTGCACAGAAATACCAACAAAATCACGCTAATCCTCATATACGCAGTTCTCGAGTGGATTTTGATACTTCTTCTGCTGTTAAATTCTTTGTTTTCCTATCTGATCCTCAAATTTGCGGAGTTTTTTGGGCTTAAGCCTCCATGCCCCTGGTGTGCTAGAATCGACCATGTCTTTGAGCCTGGCAGAGGGGATAAGAGCATGAAGATTGATTATCTCTGTGAATTTCATTCTAAGGAGATTTCGAAGTTGGGTTTCTGTTCGAATCATCAGAAGCTGGTGGATTCTGGAGAAATGTGCGAGGGTTGCTTGTCCTCGAGGCCGGAGTTGGAGGGATCGCCGAGGAATTTCGGTTTGTTTGAAAAAGTGAGAGAGTTTGGGAAATTTCAGAGTGATGCTGAAAAAGTAGATGAGAATGCTGAGGTATGCTTGAACTGTTCTTGTTGTGGTGTGAGCTTGGCCAATAATGATAAATATTCGTCTTATGTATTGCTAAAAACATCATCCTGGGACGACGACGTCTCGGAATGTGCCCAGAAAGAAAATCCGGTTGGCGAGGAAAGAGATTATGAGGATAATCTTGTTCATTTAGTGGATTTTTCAGCTGATTTGTGTGATAATGTAAAGATATCGGAAAATAGTTGTGAAGGTAATGCGGTTCCTGAGTTCGAAAGTTGGGTGATTCCTGAATTTGAAGAAAATTTGGAAATTACTGACAGGCGGACAGAAGAAAATGGCTATGTTTCTGTAAATGAGAAAGAGAAGGAAGTTCTGGAAGAAAAATCAACTCTGATAATGAAAGATAAGTCTGTCCAAGTGTGTGTTCAAGACGATGCTGCTGTTGATATCTCCCCTCAGCATCTGGAATTCTTTCTGGACTACAGCGGTCATAAATTGGTCCCGGTTGAATTAATCGACTCGGTTTGTGAAGAACACAAGATTGAGGAGTATGTAAAGATTGAAGGAGGTGATATTGCCAAAGATCAAGAACAAGAAGTTTATGTGGAGTCTGAAGTTGGGGTTCAAGTAAAAGAGGAGGTGGTGGTGGTTGAGAGTGAAGGCCAACATCAGAGCACATTTCTTGATTTTGATATTAATGAGGTACCTAAATATGCCGTGCTCGACTCCATGGACATTGAAGAGGATGAGAACTCTCTCGTGTTTCATGCAAAAGGCCCTTATTTAGAGACAGAGGAGTTTGATAACTGTAGAGTTTTTCCATTTTCCCAGTGGCCTTTGGAGGAGGGAAGTGATGTTCAGGAACACGCTGGAGCTGAAAGGGAGGAGCATTCAGATGTTCAAAGAGGTATATAAATTTCTTTTATTAATATTATTATTATTTTAGAATATTTTATCAATAACTTTTTTCATCAATATTTGAAGTAGAGATGTATAGAATAATAAACTAAAACATTGATGCCATTTGCCTAGATAATTCTGCCGCATGTGAAGAAGTTTCTCAGGTGAACAATGAAAATGAAGCTGTTGTCTCAATAGGGACGGAGATTCCCGACATAGATATAACAGATGAAATGCAAATCCAAATCTCTGATCATACACATGAATCCCTTCATGATGATTCTTTGACAAGTTCTGCCAATCTGTGCCTAGATGATGATCATGGTAACTGCTATCTGTTCCCCTAATTAGTAAAAATCAGCTGATGAGCTGGATACCGACCTTTTTTTTTTTTAAAAGAAATTGCATCTAAGAGGATTTTCGATGCTACCACGTTGTTTGTCTACAAGCATGAGTATGAAATTGTTTATCGTAGTTCACAAAGTGGTCATCTATTTTGGTATATGATCTAATCCTACTGACTGAGATTTGTGTATCCAGTCCAGTGTGTGGCTTTAAATTTTTGTTTGGCTTTCCTGGTTAAGTTCTAACATTTGTTCTTTTAGGCCCTGAACAAATTGAGGAACAAATGGTGGAAACACAATCTCTTTCACCCATTATCGATACGAATCACATGACGAACGACGAACAATGGGTTCAATCAGAAGTAAAGGAGGTCGAAGAAGATAAGGCTCCTGACACACCAACTTCCACAGACAGCCAAAATCTCGAAAGAAGTTCTTCCCTACTCGAGAAAAGGGATTCTGTGGCCGAAGAATCACTAGACGAAAGCGTAACAAGTGAACTAGACGGCCCTGTCACCATTGAAAGCTTAAAATCAGCCTTGAGGACCGAACGCAAGGCTCTGCAGGCTCTGTACGCAGAGCTTGAAGAGGAAAGAAGTGCTTCGGCAGTTGCTACAAATCAAACAATGGCAATGATCAATAGGCTGCAAGAAGAAAAGGCTGCAATGCAAATGGAAGCTTTGCAGTACCAGAGAATGATGGAGGAACAATCCGAATATGATCAGGAAGCTTTGCAGCTCTTGAATGAATTAATGGTGAAGCGAGAGAAGGAGAAGCAGGAACTGGAGAGAGAGCTCGAGGTTTACAGGAAGAAGCTTATGGATTACGAGACGAGAGAGAAACTGAGGGTTTTGGGCAAAAGCAGAGACGGGAGTGTGAGGAGTATATTCTCGTCCGCTTCCTGTAGTAATGCTGAGGATAGTGACGGACTATCCATTGATTTGAACCAGGACGTGAAGGAAGAAGATGGACTTTATTCGAATTTGGATTTTACGAACCAGAGCACGCCCATTAATGCAGTAGTAAATTTGGAAGAGTCGTTGGAGGATTTCGAGGATGAGAGGCTGTCCATTCTCGAGCAGCTTAAGGTTCTCGAAGAGAAACTCTTGACGTTGGATGACGCAAATGGGCAGCACTTTGAGGATGCGAAGGGAATTGACAATGCGGATGAAAATGGGCATTTAAATGGTGAAGAGAATGGTCATTTAAAAGGTTATCCTAATGGGAAGCACGAAAAACGCAGAAGAATTGCAGGTCAGAATGGAAAATCACTTCTTCCACTTTTCGACGCGATTTCTGATGATAACGGGAGTGAGATGGTGATTCAGAATGGATTTGATTCCAATGGGATCCACGATTCATATCAATTAAAGGTTGAAATGGAGAATAAGAAGCTTGCAATTGAGGAGGAAGTGGATCATCTTTATGAGAGACTACAGGCTCTTGAGGCGGATCGTGAGTTCCTTAAGCATTGTATTAGTTCTTTGAAGAAAGGGGATAAGGGAATGGATCTTCTTCAAGAGATCTTACAGCATCTGCGTGATCTTCGTCATGTGGAGTTTCGTTTGAGGAATTCGAGTGACGGTGCTCTGATATGAAGTTATTTTATCATCAGCTGGTAATAATTTCAAACTGAAACTCATATTTACTGAACTTGAGGTTCTGCCAAATTATTGAAATTCACTTTATAATGTTGCAAACACCTTTCTGAGGTTTGGAATTACATAACAAATATCATTTCCAATGGGGCTTAATTTGTTAAATGTCCAAGAAAAAAAAAAAAGAATTGAAATGCAGAATTCTCGTCTTTTCTTCTGTAATAGACCATTATTGCTAGCTTACATCTAGTACGTTTATCTAAATTACATTTACTGATATCCCTCCGTAATCTTTGTTGGCAGGTTCAATTCGCAACGATCATTCCCGGCTAGGTACCGATTGGAAATTGAATACGATTGTTGGAAGCTCCTGGAGAAGTCTTGTCATATGTAAGAAGTTGAAATTTGCTGAAGTTGTGCTATGTTTTCCAGTCATTTTGTCCTAGTGGACCCAATTTTTTGTGGGTTTTGTGTCTTATTAATCCCCCTTTTGAGGAAAAAAGGGGATGATGAATTTATGTGTGTGCAGTCTAGTGAGCAGAATTATTAGCCACCCTGTCACAGTGTGCTTTGGTGTGAAAAAAAAAAAAAAAAAGTTTGTAGA